AGATGATCAAGTTGATCAATTCTGAAGCTTTTCAGCTCTATGAATATGAGGATTGGCGCCACACGATGCCTATAACTTGCAAAATGGCATTTGCGTCAAGTCACGGGGGATTGGCTTTCTTCCGTCAACAGCACGAAGGGGTGCCAGTATAGAAGCCTGAGCATATCTTGAAAGCATAAAACCCGGGATGGGCAGAGGCTTATGAGTTGCAGTAGTTGCTAAACAACTTCATAGGCTGTCGTTTGTGCCTTTGGGGCTGGTTACATACATGGTGGTCCACGAAGTTCATGGCCTATGGAAGCACGTTGCGACGACCCGAACGCTTATTAGATACATGGGCACAAATCAAAGTGGAGAGAACGGGCGGTCCACTGACTTGGCTAGACAATGTCTCGGTCGCGCATAGGCAATAAAATAAACAAAACATAATATAGCCTATTAATATTTCAAAAGTTCGTAAATGTTAACATTGTGCAATATATAAGGTATATAAGAAGGATTTTCTGTAAGAAGCTATCCCAAGCTCGCCCCCTTTTCGTCCAATTCTTCATGTTGACGATGAAAGATTCCCAATTACATGAAATCCCCGACCTATTTTCTCCAGGTTGATGTTACTTGCGCTCGTCGTACCAGTGTAGCGTCACTCAAGAAGATTGAACTGCGCTGCACATCGATTAATTAGACGTTCTGCGACAAAATACTCCTTTTTCTTCCTCCCTGTTCCTCATGCTAAATCATCCACCATGAAAAAGAACTTCCAAAAAATGCATTTAATCCAAAATGGTGGTGGGGGAACGAGAAAAAGCAAGCATTAAATTGGATAAAAGACTCTCTTCTTTTAAATGAGCAGAGCAAAAGCAGCAGCGGCCACGACGGCGCCCTGGACGTGGTGAGCAGCGGCGCCGGCGGTGACGGGCACCGAGGTGGTGGGCACGGCCGCGGTCGTCGAGGTGGCCTTTGTGGTGGTCTTGATGCTGGTGGTGCCGACCGAGGAGTAGCTGGTGACGGGGTAGGTGGGGTAGGTGGCCTCGGCGGAGGAGGTGGTGGTCCAGGCGGGGTAGGAAGATGAGTACGAAGGGTACGAGACGGGGGGAGGGATGACGGGGTAGGATGAAGACGAGTAGATGGGCGCCGTGGCCGAGGTGGTGGTCTCGGCCGGGTACGTCTCCGAGTAGGTAGGGTACGTCTCCACGGGCGCCGTGCTGATCTCGGTGTAGGTTGGGTATGACACCGGGGTGGTGGATGTGGTGGTCTCAACCGGGTAGGTCTCGGTGGGGAAGGTCAGGGTCGTCGTCTCAACCGGGTACGTCTCCGAGTAGGTCGGGTACGTCTCCACGGGCGCCGTGTAGGTAGGGTAGGTTTCTACCGGGGCGGTGGAGCTGGTGGTCTCCTCGCACTCGGTCGTGGTGGTGGAAACGGTGTAGTAGGTGGTGGTCTCGACGGGGTACGTCGGCGCCGGCTGCTCGTCGGAGCAGTCGGTGGTGGGAGGCGGGGGCGGGTGGCCGTGGTCACCGCCGCCGCCGTGGGCCAGAGCACCAGTGGCCAGAGCCAAGAGACCAAAAGTATAGGTTCTCATCTTGTCTTTCTTGTTGCCGGTAACTATTATGAGTTGGCTGGAGGTGGAATAATTATTGTATGCAAATTAACCCAAGTCCTTTCTGGAGAGAGAAAAGGGTTTAGCAAAAGAGTCAAGAGGCGAGAAAACGACTGTTGATGTATGTATAGCGAGCGAGTCTTTTGTTTAGAAGCAAACCAAAAAAAGCGAATGTGTAGGCAAGCAATAAAACTTGGATATTAAACCCTGAATGTTGGGACGATCGATAAATCTGGGAGGCAGGAAAGCAAGGAACTAGGAGCCAGTCATGCCAGGGTTCTCGCAGTGACTCTTATAGTACGTTGATGGGACAACCTATCGCGCATTCAGGCTGTGGGCTGACCATGGTTTGCCATGGCTGACGAAATGGTCGGCATCCATGAGAGAATGGCAAGTCGCGACCATTTGCAGTAGGCCGGAGCAGCGGTTATAGTGCCGAATAGGTAAGGTCCTTGTGAACCCCATGTCTCGGGCCAAGGCGTCAAAAGCAGGGGGGTATAGGTGCTCATCAAGAGACTTGCGCCCATGTGATTGGGCCAGCAATGGCGGAGTCAGAGCCAAGTCACAGCGCATTTCCTAGACTTGCATGCAAGAGGAGAAAGATGTTGTTGGCCTTGGAAAACCATGGCTCGCGGTCCAATGACTTCAGAGCCTGTCGAGCCTGTGCGGTTCACTGTCACCCTCCATTAGCAACGAAAAAAAACGCAACCCAAGAGGTAAACACTAATGTTGTGTTCCTGCAGCTGAACCCGCGAGTCAAATTTTAGAGTTGTCTCGGTGCTACGACATGGCCAGCAAATCATAACTCGATTTGCATCGCCAATGGAAATCTCTCTACTGTTGTCGCGTTTCAAGAAGAGTGCTCGAGCCCAAGCTGTTGGCCCATTGCAGAGAGAAACATGCGACGAATGATTGACCTGGAAATCCGGAAGACTCGGAATGTTACTTTATTAACGTTCCTGGGAGCATCCCGATGCCGCCTGGCTGACAGTGATTGCCTGACTACATTACCTAGCTACCTAGAGAGCTGGAGAGGCTGCGCTACACATGCGTGTAATCGTACAAGGTGCCAATGTCAAGTCGCTCTGCAGTATGCAGATTTCCCATCATCGTCCTTTGTGAGATGGTGGGTTGGCATAGGTTGGGTAAGATGGGATGGAATGGCCAATGGTTGGACGGGTTGGACTGTCTGTCTGCCTGTCACACACCACCTCCAGATTGCATGCTCGTATTCAACGCAGCCACCCCACCATCCAACCATCGCTATATGTGCCCTGCGTCTGACAAACCATGCAGCCTCACGGGAGAGCTTTTTCTCTGGGGTCAATGACGATCGAGGCTCTCCTCGTTGGACGGAAAGCTCAACTTGCATACGAAATAAGACGACCCTCGGACAATCCAATTGAGAAGTGACCACTGGAAATCGTACCATTTTGGGAAATTCCCTCAAGCTGCTCGTATGCTTTGAGACATTCTCATCGCAAAACGTCTGGAGTGTCTGCGAGGCTGTTAGAAGAAGACACAATTGAAGTAAAAAAAACAAATAATCGCCATTCAGCCGCAATATGTAGCTTTGAAACCTACAGTTTGTGCCATCCTAAATCGCAGTATTGTTTTTTGTGCGCAATTGGGGAGACAAGGAGAGAAGGATGCCCACGGCTATTCCTTCTGCGCAACTGCCGCCCGACGATCTCAAGTGACGGGAGCCAAGGCCATTAGGCCATTGGGCCAGCACCAAGGCCTGACAATCGGCCTCTCCCCAGCCGTCGCCATGCCACTGGGCCTTGGAGAGAAGCAGTGTAACCTGCAAAGTAATACCGGCACAAAGCGAGGGGTCGGGGTTGGGGTCGGGCGACGGTGAGGTTGCAGAACCTGTAAGCAGTGCAGATGACACGACCTCACCAATCGAGTTGCACGCGAGCCTGCTGCTCGAGCTTGATTTCTTTTTTCTCCGGGGCGGAGGCGGCGCCGATCGCGTCAGCGTACTGCAGGATCTGCACGTCGACCGACCACTTGCTGAGCTGCTCCTCGACAACGTCGTTCCACTTGCGCACCAGCGGGTGAGCGCTGGCAATGTCCTCAAACACAATGTCGCCCTCGGCCGTGGCAGACGGTAGCTCGAACCTCCAGGTGCCGTCGGGTAGCCAATACTGTTCATCGTAGATTGATTCCGTACTCAGCTCTTTCCGCGCCTCCTCGAGAAGTCGCAGAGACTCGCGGTAAACATCCTCGGCGCCGCCGTCATCGTCACCACGATCAGCGGCCCGCAGAGCGCTCGTGATGCCCTCGAGGAAGCCCAGGACCTGGCCAGCCTTGAGCCCAATGTTGGCACCTAGGCCGAACCCCTCGTCAAACCCCGCCTGGATGCTGATGGCTTTTGCTGCGGTGATGCCGTCGCGATAACCAGTCGTCGTGTGCTCTGCCTGCAGCCGCCGGATGTCGGACGGGTGGGATTCTCTAGCCTCGGCGCCGTGTTCCGAGCCATCAAAAACGGCGGATCCTGCATCAGAGCCGAAGACATCATCTAAGAAATCCTCCTCAATGACGACGGGACGAGGAGTCTCCCGCGCAGAGATGATTTGGATTCTGAGATCCTCATCCTGAAGGTCGTTCTGCTGAGCCATGTGCATTTTCGACAATTTAAAAGAAAGAAGTTTTTGGTTCAGTGCATGTAAATTTGTAGTTGAGTTAATGCAGATTCGCTTTGCCCAAGATTGAGAAAGGATTGCGGCCAATTTTGGAGGGGTCCGGCGCCGGCGGAAAGAGCTTCAAAAGTCTGACCTCTACAGTACGAATGTATGCAAAGCAGCGGTAAACTTGCTTTGAATACTGTGTTGCACACTGTACATGAATCACTATACAAGCTGCACTTTTATAGCTGCTAGGGCGGTAAATCAATTGCGCCATGATGAATGACAAACAATAATCTGGATTATTAAATGTTGACTGTGAGCGGGATATCCTGCATATGTTCACGTTTAAGTCAACCTAGTCATGTTGCATTCAGTATATAGCAACTATCGCATTGTGACACGAAGGGCATGATTCAACTGACCTTATCACTGGACAACGGGCCATGAGGCAACATGGACTTCGTATTAAAACAGCATGGAGACGTACCTACTACGAATATTAGTCATTCCATTACAGATTCACAAGAAATTATCCACATTCATTTCCCCATCTGCAAAGACAGAGGCAGGAGAAAACGTAGTAGCAATGCAGAGGATCGTACAAGAACCGTCCTCGATTGGGCATATGTTAAGTCGAGCCCAGCCAGTGAGCATCAAGTCAAGATTTTAGTATGTAGCCCAACCTGCTTACTTGGTTGACCCCAGGGACAGGCAATCTCAAGTGACCATGGAGAGCAAAAGACAAGATCTTTGGCAGACACCCCAAAACTTGAAACCCCATGCGAGATTCGAACCCGCGATCTTCGGCTCCGGAAACCGACGGCCTAAACCACTGGCCTAATGGGGCCTCAAATGCGTTGTGAAAGAATTTGTGTGTATCTGCGTTTGTTTCGGAGTGGGAAGAAGTCATAGATCATGTGCCGTTGTCTTCAAACCTGACGTCTGCCTGGCAGCTTGAGTCACAGGACTATCAAGACGAAAGGATAGCAAACGGTGAGGGAAGGGGAAACGGCTAGTCTGTCAGTGGACTGACCCTTTGAAGCATTGGCACGGAACGCAAAAGGGCAGGATCGAACTGTCAGTGTCAAGCCGGTCGAGAAGATTGCTCCTTCCTTGGACAAGCATATTGTAAACCTCAACACTTCTGAGTGGCAGTAATGAGAAGAGAGTCATTGGGCTGTTTAGATTGCTGTTGGCGTACTTCTCCGTGCCCTTTATTGATCAGATGCCTGCAATAGGGAGAAGGATAAAATTGTAATTGTATAAGCATTTGTTTTACTCATGCACCATGGAGAATACTCAGTTTTTCAATTCTCTTGATACATAATGGTCTCCCAATCTACGAGGCAGGAAATAAGTCTAGAGGACTATCATATGTACTGTCGTGACTCTGGGATTCTTTTACTTTTACTCCTGTATGGATGATTGACTTGACCAGACAAGCAAGCTCGCCATCCCCATGACTGTCTGCTATTCCAAGATGTCAACATGACATATTAACACCACCGATAATCTAGACATCACAATTTCCAATTTGACTCACGATGAGCCTTTGTGTTGAAGCCAAGACTATATGATTAACTTATAGTGCAAGATAATCTAAGGAATGGTTACAGGCTCGACCAATGGCTTGTGCGCTAGGCCAGACCACATATCAATTGCAGACAGTAAGACCAATCAATGCATGTCAAATTATATACTCAAACAAAACACGTCCGCACTCGGATGTATACACTTCTGTTATTTGGGATCCGATAAAGCGATGTCATCTTATCCTGAAGGTGACTGCATACCGCCAAGCAGGCATCTGAACCAGGGGCATCGCCTTGATAATGGATGACGCCAATGCAAAGACCGGGGTAAAATCAAATTGGCGCTCGTCATTGGGTGTGTGTTTACCTTTCAATTCCCAACAATCTTCACCATTTTGCTCTGATATGCGGCATCGCTTTCAGGTCCCCCCAAGCCAAAATAACCCCAGTTCACATTAAGCTCCAAATTCCCAAGAAACCCCCTCCCCCTTGCCCCGCGATAAGATCCCTACACAACGGCGGCCGATCCTACTCGATACTGGGATTGGAAGGTAAGCCCGCAGTGCTCTGAAGGTCAATGACGCTCACTATTCCGCATGGTATCTCTTCTGTCCAGACAAAGGACGGGGAGTAATCTATCTCGCTCCCGCTATATCACAGCCTCGGGTGCTGGATGCCGAGCTGCAAGGCTCGTATATAAAGTATACCATGTTTGGCGCAGGCTGGAGCCAAGACTTTGCGCCAGCATGTTGTCAGTATATGAATGCAGACGGACCAGCCCTGCTGCAACCTGCCGATCTGTAAGTATTCTCGTTACATTGTTCAAGTGTCCCGTATTCGACCTTGACAAGTCGAGGGTTGAGGGGCATTATAAATCCTAATTTCTCTTCTTAAAATTAACTTTTTGCATACAGCCAATACAATCAAGCCCAATTGAGTGGTTTTGATTACTTCAAAATGGTGTCCCTCAAGACGTACTGCACTTTGGCCCTGTCGGCCTTTTCCGTCGCATTCTCGTCAGCATCATCATGCACAAACTCGAGCACGTCCATCGGCGGCAAGCCGTTCCCGCCCCTGATTGAGGCGACGCTCGAGGATCTCGTGTCGGGTCTCGAGTCGGGCCAGTTCACGAGCGTGGACCTCGTCAACGCCTACACGGCGCGCATCCTCGAGGTCAATGCGACCCTCCGGATGGTGACGTACCTGAACCCGGACGCCCTGGCCATCGCCGCCGAGGCCGACGCGCTCCGGGCCAGCGGCACGATCCTGGGCCCCCTGCACGGCGTCCCGCTCCTGATCAAGAACAACATTGCCACCAACGACTCGCAGCCCAACACGGCGGGCTCGTACGCCCTGGTGGGCGCCCAGGTGCCCTCGGACAGCACCGTCGCCGCAAAGCTGCGCCAGGCCGGGGCCGTCCTGCTGGGCAAGGCCAACCTGTCCCAGTGGGCCAACTGGCGCAGCGACAACACCAGTAACGGGTGGACGGCCGACGGGGGGCAGACCGAGGCGGCCTACTACCCACACCAAGACCCCTCGGGCTCCAGTTCGGGCAGCGGCGTGTCCAGCGCCCTGGGCCTTGCGCTCGCGGCCCTGGGCACCGAGACGGACGGCTCCATCGTCTCCCCCTCGAGCGTCAACAACCTCGTGGGCATCAAGCCCAGCGTCGGCCTCACGTCGCGCCACCTCGTGGTCCCCATCTCGGAGCACCAGGACACGGTGGGGCCCATGGCCCGGACCGTCAAGGACGCCGCCTACATCCTCTCGGCCATTGCCGGGCCGGACCCCAACGACAACTACACCAGCGCCATACCCTTTGACATGATTCCCGACTACGCGGCCGCCTGCGACTACTTTGCCCTGCAGGGAAGCCGCATCGGTATCCCCCGCAACGTCTTTGACATCACGGGCGCCGAGGAGCAGTACGGCGCCGTGGTGGCCGCCTTCAACGCCTCGCTGGACGTGTTCCGCGAGGCCGGCGCCGAGGTCGTGGACGACATATTCCTGCCCGGGTGGGAGGTGCTCGCGTCGTCCGACTTTGAGCTCAACGTGCTAAAGGCCGACTTCATCGTCAACCTGGCCGCCTACCTGGCCGCGCTGACGGCCAATCCGACGGGGGTGACCGACCTCGAGCAGCTCCAGGCCTTTACCCAGGCCTTCCCCGCCGAGGACTGGCCGGAGCGCGACACGGACATCTGGCAGTCGGCCCTCGACCTCGGCTACGACAATACGAGCCCCGAGTTCTGGTCAAACTACACGGCGGACCTGTACTACGGCGGGCCCCTCGGCCTCACGGGCGCGCTGGCCAACTACTCGCTCGACGCCCTCATCATCCCCACCACCTTTGCCTCGACCCTGGCCGCCGTCATCGGCGCGCCCATCGTCACGGTGCCCCTAGGTAAATTTCCCGACAACCAGACCGTCATCCCCAACTCGTTTGGCAACCTCGTCGACACGGCGCCCAACGTACCCTTTGGCATCTCCTTCCTGGGCGAGCGCTTCAGCGAGGAGAAGCTGATCGGGCTCGCCTACGCCTTTGAGCAGCGGACGCTGGTGCGGAACACCATCAAGCCGTACCTACAGCCCACGACGGAGCTCGTGGATGTTGTGGAAAAGAGGAAGAGACTTGCCAAGAAGTTGTAGTTTCACAAGTGTGCTTGTACATGATTTTATTTGAATACACGCGCCGTTCAATTCAACTTGTGAGGAATGATACGTGACAGGATCAGAAATTGATTACTCAAGAGACCCGTAGAATCATTAGCAAAGCCTCTATCGAGAAGCCGCCATATCCCGTGCTTGCCATTCGTGCTTCTTTGCAGAATTGAAGAACGCTACTTGAGTGTCTCCCAATGATCTTTCTTCGTGAGCACAACCCTGGATATGTACGAGCACAACAGGATCTCCGGGGGTGTCACTCGAGCAAAGTCCAACAGCTCCCAAGTCCTGCTATCGACGAGTCGCTGCTCCGATATCCTCTCAGACTAGGTTCTCCTCGGTGACGACCAAGTTGGGACATCTTCACTTCTGCGGTGGCTGCTCCTTCACAGACTCCTCGCCCAATACCTTACTCGCAGCCATGAACCTATCCAACGAAACAGAAACAAGTCAGTAAAGGCCCCTTGGTCTTGCCCCCACATATCCTTGTTTCCCGGCTTCGTGATATAAAAGCAAACAGGGTGCAAGAATACACGTTGGTTACGATCCGGAAATGAAGAAAACAACAGCAGAAATGGGCGAGCAATCTTGGAGAAAAGTCAACTTACATGCCGCCATGCCAGGCACCGAGGCCCCTCATAGCTTCAGCCTGAACGGCTGTCATGCGGAGCAAGTTCTCAGTATCGGACAAGTTGGAAGACAGCTGTGCAAGCTGTGAATGAAGGTGTGCCTTGATGATGGGGCGAAGAGTGTCAGTCGAGATTTTGTAAATAACACCACAAGATAGCATCAAAACCGAGAAGGCAAGGCACAGAGATAAAAAGAGGGATATATGGAGAGAAAGAAAGAAGGATATATAACCCACTAGTTGACGAGCCTTGACGGCGCCTCCCGAGCCGGAAGAGCCCTGTGGTGCCATGGACGGTCTGGCCATGGGTCCTGACCCAAAGTTGGTGCTTCTCGTCGCCATCTTTGCTTTCTTTTCTTTTTATATCATGAACTCTCCTTATTTTCTCCACAATGATGCCTCGGCCGAGATCAATGAGATACAGATGAGAATGACCAGGTGTGTGCTTGGCGCGTGCCCAGATGTAGCCTCTGCAGTCTAGGTGAAAGATTGCGCAATATCCCGTCTCTCCAACAGCCGTGAATGGAGTACACTGGATGAACAGATGCTCGATGCGTTTTTCTAATTCGCTCAGTCAAAAGCAGCCCGGTGCCAGTTCAATGCCGGTTCTCTTCCGGCGTCGTCGTTGGGTGCGCGGACAAGTTGATGTTGTTTGTTGACTAAATGCGGCTCCACGCGCGATGTAAGATACCACGTACCCATGGGCCTTGTTCAGCTTGCGGGGCGGGGCGGACAGCGCTATAACCCACTGGAGCCGCCAAATCACGGCGGCTTGTTAACTGGACTTTAAACACATCACCCAGCCTGCCAGGTATCTTAGCTGCTAATCATTTGAATAAAGTAATTGCACTGACATTTCTAGATCCGTGTACAATATATCTCTAACATAACCGCCTCACCCATCTTGAACCCACAAATGGTAGACCTTTATTGCCCAGCAAAGTACGAAGGCTAAAGATTATACCACCTTATCATTGTTTGAGATGAAAAGTACGAGACAGGTTTTTTGATGAATCACAATTAGATCAA